TTAGTACAAGCACACACACACACACACACACACACACACATGCGCGTGCACAAATGTGGCTGCCACAGTCTTACATGACTAATTTGAAGTGAAAGAAAAATGTTATTTAACATCTGTGTATGAGAGAAGGGTAGTTTATAAAATACTCCAGCATTTCAAAGACTTAGATTATTGGATATAAAATCATGTTTGCAATTCCAACCTGTTTGATTTTATCAATATAGTAACGAAAAAGATATTTATGTAGTTACTTTGTACTAGAAAACATAGTGAGTCCTTTATATGCATTACTTTAATTAGTCCTCACACTCAGTGTATTCCCGGATACTTGGTTTTTCAAAGGTGAGGTCACAGAGGTAGTAGGTAGAGGTGTCACATATTGGTCTGACTGCAAAGTATATGCTGTACTGTGCAAAGTTTTTCTATTGATTTGACATTGATAGTATTTAAATTTTAACTAAGTGTGAGCTATGAAAATCAAGTGTGGTGACACATGAAAAATATTTTTATAAATGGTAGCATAATGCTGCTTTACTTGGTATTTATTAAGCACCTAAAAGGTCTTAGGAATTTTATTTTCAGTGGCTATAGTCTTTTTCCTCTTTACAATTATTTTGGTATGAGATTTTATCAGCTTTCAGATTCCTGTTCCATTCAAAAAGAAAAGTTATTTGCCCTATTATCTTTGTTATGTCACTATTTATAATTTTATGTGCCCAATATAACATAAAATAGTATCATGGGCCCAGCTTCAGATGATGATGAGAAGAAACCTAGCCCACTTGATGCTTTAATTAACTGATTTTTCCATTTCTCTATGACCTAGTGCTGGAGAATTTTTCCTTCCAAACATTGTTTTTCTCACTGGCTTTTAAAGTAAAAAATCATAACCCACTGCCAGGAGTATATCCAGAAACACTTAGTTAAACCACAGGAAAAGCCATTACACAATGTGAAAACTGTCCTAACAGGATTTCCTCTGAAATTGTATGTTCTTTGACACTCTAGGGAAGAAAAAGAAAGGAAATAGAAACACATGAGATAAGAGGAATTAATACAAGGAAGAAACAGGCCGAGCAGTAGATTGTTATACAGGACAGAGAGCAGTTTCTACCAGTCAAACAAAAGTCTGTCATGGGCCCAGGAATTGTGGAGCTGAACTTGAAGAAAAGCACTGCCGATCATGAAAAACTGAATCAATGGAGAGGTAGAAAAGTAGGACATGTATTCTTTTCCTTTCCTAAATGGCTTGATAACTCACTGGGCAGGTGAAGAAAACCGCCTCTTAATATTGGCCATTACAGTGATGTAAGGTCACTAGAAAAACTAACCTCTTCCTTTTCATCTTCTTTCTCATATTTTTAGGTAGAAAAATTGGTAGCAGGGAAAGAAGAAAAATCCTGAAATATTACCTGTGGCAGAAAAGGGGTATTTCTTTTTACTCTGATTTTGTGCTAGACTTTTAAGTAGTATAGAAATTATTTGGAAGATTTGTCCCTGACTAATGAAAACAGTTCAGTACATCAGACTTGGTCCCTGGGTGAATCTCATAATTAATAAAATGCATTCAACAAAAAATGTAAATTATACAAATATGGGGAATAGTATTTCTTGATTGCATTTTCTCACATTAGCCACATCTGTAAAATAATGCTCAGCTTAAATGTAAAACATACAGAACTCAAATATGATATTCCTTTATTGACATTTATTATAAACAAGTCATAATTTCAGGCATATTATTTCAGCTTGCATCAGTTATTTACAATCTTACAGTGTTTTCACATTGAACTTAGAAAGAAATGTAAACTCTCATCACTATTACCCAGTCTCCATGTGGTCTGACCACCATTTCTTTTCAACTTCATCTCTTCCTTTCCCCACCACCTGCTGCTTTCCAGTCCCCTTTCCATGCCTTCATGTTACGGCTCATGATGGGATGCCCCCCAAAGGCTCACGCAATCACAGGTGGGGCTTTTTCAGAGGTGCATGGATCTAAAGTGTGTGATGCCAAGATCAAGGGTGTGTGATTACTAAATTAGTCCATCAATTGATTGGTTTGGCATAGTTCTGATTGTGGATAATGGGAAGGCCCACTCTGGATGCAAGTGTTATGCCCTCAAGGTTGTGTAGCCTGAATATAATAAAAAGGACAGAAAGAGGGCTGCAGTGGTCGCTTGCCACTTGCTGCTTTATTACTTCACTGCTTGCTGCCTTGCTGCCTTCTGCCTACCACAAACTGTTTCTCTTCGGCAATGTCACCCTGCCTTGGAGCCAGCCAACTATGAACTGACATTTCTACAAACTGTGAGGTGTAGTAAACCTTTCCTTTTAGTGTTGGGTGTCAGGTATTTTGTCTCAGCAAAAAGAAAAGTAATTAAGATACTCAATCATGCTTTTTTGCTTTGCTATTTTTTTTTTTGCACTTGATGGTTCTTCTGTCCAAAAATTAGCTTATTTTTTGTTTTCTTTTGTGTATTTTTCTTTAAAATGTTTTTAAAACCTTTTTTATTATTGCATGTTTGTGGAAGACAATGATTACATTGATTGTGTGAAGATAAAATAAGTAAAACCTTTTTTTTTAATGGATGACTCTCTCATACACTTTAAATCTCAACTTAATGTCATATCCTTAGATCTTGTCTAATTCCTTCACCACTCACAATCCTTGATGATTCTGTTATCCTATCCTTTAGTTTTCTTCACAGAATGCATTAGAGTCTGTTATTTTATTGTATACTGGTGTATTTCTTTTGCCCACCTTGCACTACAGGCTCTATGAAGGCAGAGACCTGGTCATCCTAAGCTTCCATGGTGTAAAATACTAGATTTGTGCCTAGGACATCAATTAATAAATTGGCAAGAGAAAAATAACACTTGTAGAGCCCTACATTTCTGTTAAGCATTGTATTACTATTAGCTACATTAGATTATAGAGTAATGATGAGATAAAAATCATTATCTTCACTTCATTGTCTAGAAAAGTAGGAACTTGGGTCTCATAAAGCTGTCGAAGGAGCTCTGAAAGCAGCTGCCAGTCTAATTATATCATCAGACGTTAAGCTCATTATATTATGGGTCCAGATTCTGCATGCATATATATAAATCAGCTTAACGTCTGAAGTATGATGTACTAATCTCCTGGGCAGCGGCCAAACTAATCAAGTTGACAACTCGCTAAACTTTCTTAGAGTCCTTACTTTGGAGCACCACATGAAGATATTATAGTAGGGGACAATGAAGAGATAAACATTCTTTCTCTGAACATTTGATGAGCTGTGGTAATGACACAAATACCACACTGTTCTCTTCCCCTCCATTCCCACTACCATTTGTCTAATTTCGACCACTACCATCTCTCTTGTTTTCCAACATGCTATTCACTCATTCCACTCTGTATGCTGTAAATAGACCTACCAGTTTAGAACATAGATATCAACATATTGCTTTTGTCCTCACAAATAATCCATGTCTTTCTACAGCACGTAGCCAAAGTTCAAAAATTTAATATGCCCTCCAAAGCCTTTGAGAACTACTCAGCTTCCTCTTCCACTATGTACTGTGATCTCATTTTGAAGACTTCTGTTTTATGTTCACACCTTGCTATCTCATGCCCTTATGCCTTTGCATGATGCTTCCCCCTCCTGCAGCGCCCTTCTTTATCTCTCTACAAAGTTCAACACAAAAGTAACTTCCCATTTGGAGCGTTTCTGAACTCTCCTCTGTTGTATTTCACCCTAAAGAAGATGTTTCCTTCCAGCATTGCTCCCATGCCATTTCCTTAAACATCCTTTGGTACTACAGTGATGCTACTTTCTTTTACTGTTGTGAAAAGAGGCTTGACCACAGAATAAGCTAGTTTAAGTGCTAATGATCGCTACCGTTGATCATATAGCATTCAGGGTCTTTTACAGAAATACTCACTGAGATCAGGCCTGGGCGTGGTGGCGCATGCCTGTAATCCTAGCACATGAGAGGCTGAGGCAGGAGGATTGCTGTGAGTTCAAGATAAGCCTGGGCTATGTAGTGAGTTCTGGATGAGACCCTGTCTCAAGAAAACAAACAAACAAAAAAACAAGAAAGCAAGCAAGCAAGCAAGCAAGCAAGCAGGGGTACTACCGTATTCCTTCTTGCAACATTGGAATCTAATATGATGCCTTCATATATCTATATTTATGTCTATGTCTGCATCTATATATCTATATCTATCTATATCCCTTTGTACCTTGGAAAGTTATTAAAGGTTTAGTGGAAATTAATTTATCCATAAACAAAGCAATTGAATATGAGAAACAGGAAAAGAAGACTAGAGAAAAGTTTTCTTGAGAGATGTGAGTTAAGTAGACAGGGCCTACATGGGACATATTAACAAAGTCATCAGTGTTTGTTGGACTTCAGGAATTCTTGCAGTCACTTGAAATAGATACTTTCATTTTTACTGAAATCATTTGAGGTAACCATAAAGCTGCTATTTTGTAGATTTGAAAACTGAGGTTGAAAGGAAAAAAAATTGTCATAGTACTAGCACTTGATAGGAATTGTAAGCCTACTCATAAAATGTGTTCTTTTACATTTTATGAGACATCTCATTGTGCAACTTAAATACAAAATAGTATGTCCCCTTAATTTCTAGAAAACACAATCGCCCTTTGCATCTTGTGAGAGCTATTAAAAGTTCATTGGAAGCTGATTTCGTCCTTAAATAAAATGACTGACTGTGAGAACCAGAAAAAGGGTACTGGAGGAAAGGACTTTTCTTGGGACAAATGAGATCAGGAGACAGAGGCTGCATGAGACATATTAGAAGAGCGACATGTAGTTTCAATGGCTTAAGTGAAAACTTTCCCCAAATAAGATACATGTGTTGAAAATGTGCGTCTGTTGTCAGATATGCAAGACATTTTACACATTTTTTTAGCCTATAACGCTTCCAAGTCCTAGCTTTGGTGGTCACAGAGCTGGCCATCTTCTGACTGGTGGCTTGTATTCATCCTTTGCAGTTCCAGATCATTTAATATTCCGCAAATTCAGCAAGCATAAATCCTAGGACAGTCACAACATTCCTGACGGAACATCTGGAGCAGTCCTACTTGGCAAGAAGAAGCACAAGAAAGATCAGGTGAGACCTTGAGTGAGAGGTCATGAAAACTGCTAATAAATTCTCTACCACAGTGACACTGTTAGACAAATTTATTGTGAGATACTTCTGGGTTGTTGGGGGTTTTTCAGAATTTTCAGTACTTCAAATGAATGATACATTTCCTTTCTGCATGAAGGACAGTTCTGCCCAAGGAAGCTGCAGTGACACACTTTTCTGGAGATGAGAGAGATAAATACATACATGTACATTTCCTCATTATTTTAGGAAAATGAATGAGTTGTGGAAGTGGAGCTCTAAACTTGAGGACGGCCATCAAGACAACGAAAACGACCTGTGTCTTTAAAGGGAGCAAGTTAGGGGCAGGCAGCCTCAAATAAGTTGAAGAAACGTCTGGGCTGATAATAAACTGACTTCCGAAATGTGGATTTCACTTTGAGAACTTCACACAGTAAGCTTACATTTCTAATTGTATATTTGGGAAAATACATAAAATTACAAAACTTTGAAATGCATACAGAATTATAATGATCTAATATGTAAAAAATCTTATAAAGTGATAGAGGTTTACGATGTTTATCCTTCGAAAAAACTAAATGCTATTAAATATTTTAATCTATTCTTTTTCATGGTCAGTAGTTAAAGAAAAAAAATATGTACCTGTGTCTATTAAGTCCAAATGCTGTATTTTCTTCCTCAATTATCACCTCCTAGGGGAAATTTTAAATAAAAATTATACTTCATTTTTCAAAGCTCCAATTTGAGCATGGAAAATGTGATAGCTATGATCAAATGGAAAACACAGACAAGGAGAAAAATTACTAACCAGAAAATAATTTAGCCATGTTTTTCTAATGATACATGCAATGGCCTTGTTAGCCCTTTGGGCGGTTGTACAAGAATAATCCGAGGAATTTGCAACTATATGAGAAACGTATTTGCATTTCAAATATTATCTAAATGATTATGTATATCTTCTGGTCCCCCTCTCCCCCCACCCAGTCTTTCAGGAGCTAAAGGAAATCCTTTAGCGCTATACTTTGTCCTATTTATTTTCCTTATAGCCCACAAACCAAAGCCCTGTTACTTTAAATGAAACCATATTTGCTTAGAGGGCAACAGGGAAGTATTGTTTTCTGTGTTTAAAGTAATATATATATTTTAAATGCTTACACCTGCATATTCTCTGGGTCTTTATGTTGCCCATCTCCATATATATATGGTACAGTAAAACATTAACTTTCATGTTGAAATATTAAGAGTTAGCTTTTAGATCCTTTTGTCAAACAGCGATGCAGAGCTCCTGGTCTTTGATCCTGACTTGCCGTATAATTAGGAAAATCACAATTATTTACTGCATGGCTGTTAATGAGGAAAGGCGTTTCTCTACGAATGGAAAAAACGCGATGTGCATTTAAATACAGTTGTATATAAATGATTTTAAATTTAATACAAAGTTCACAGGAACTATTACTAGCTACATTTTTTAAAGTGAGAAGCGCTCCCTTCAGTTTTCAATCACATGTAGCTATTTTTCCATCTGTTCCTGTTCTCCCTCTTGCACCTCATGTCCAGCTGAACAAACTTCCCAATTGTCCCAATAGGGCCTAATTTCTGACATATGTGTCTTTGCTTACACTGCTTCCTCTTCCTGAAACATATTTTCTTATTTCTCCACCTTTCAAAGTCATTTCCAGCTTTGTACAATTGACCTGCTAAAGTGACACACGCTGCTTGATGATACACCCATCACCTCCACAGTGAATACTGTTTCTATCCTTCAGTTGTGCTTCTGTTATATTACATAGAATATTTAACTCAAAAAACAGGCATCGACAGGCTTTTTCAAAGGACTTCTAGTCCCTGTAAGTGGTGGTAAAATAAGAAAGCAACATGCCCCCAAAATTCAAAGAGGAAATAAGGTGTGTAGTTCATCACCATGCTCTATGCAACTTCATATTTAATATTGCTCATTGGAATTGAACAATTTGAAATTTACAGACATACACACAAATATTGCAGATAGGTAAGTTAATTAGATATCTTGTAGGCAGTTAGACAGCACCACCCTTAATGATCCAACACAGCAAGGAACCTCCAAGGAGGACAATCAAGGCACATTTATTCTAAATAGGTTTCAATCACCTGGGTGGGAGCCAACATCTTAACCCAGCCTCCCCAGGAAATATCCCTGACCCCACCCTTACTGAAAATCCTTGTACACTTGCTGCGTCACTTGCTCCCCATTTGATCCCCATTTAATCAATATTACCTGGGTGACTGCATTTGTAATCTTTTTCTTTTCTCATTGAGTTTATTGGTCCATTTTAGGTCTACAGTACAGTTACATTCATCATTGGGATCTTGTACCTTTACATGACAGGTCTTGGTTCTCATTTTTTCCCCTTGTCCCTGCCCTCCCTTCACCCCCTCCTCCACTCTGCATTAACAAACTCTTTATTTCCATTTTTTCATTTTCTCATATTTTTTTCACTTCCCTTATTAGCTTTCCCCACCCTTCCCACTCACAGACTTATGTTTATAGCTCAAAAAGATTTGTATAAAATATCTATTTTATTTTAATAAAAAGTAACAAATATTTATTATAAAATGATTTAAGTAAAAGAGCATTATTGTGTAATGTGAAAGCTACTTTATAGTCACAGGCCTTTTCACTCTTTATAGTAAGTGTACCTGAATATGTATACATAAAAGAGTTTATATTGTACGCATGTGAAAATGAACATGTGCACGTACACACACACACACACACACACACACACTCACAGAAGTGTTTCAGAGGGACAGCGCTGGGATTTAAACCTAGGAAGTCTGGCTCTAAATCCATGCTCTTACCCTCTCTTGTATTCTGCCTCCTGTATAATTGACTCTAAAGCTATTGTTTAGAGTCTAGACAGTTATCATTTACAAATTTCAGTTTTAATGTTCTAGAAATTCTTTGGTCCTTTCAATAAAACCCTAAGACGCTTTATCTAAAGCAAAACAAAACAAAACTCAATTTGCCCTTTGAAAAAACTCACCTTGTGTTTTCACCCACCATATTCTACATTCATGAGCACTCTCTTCCCTCAAGGAGAAAGGGCATGAGTACTTCATAAGCCTCTGCCTTGCTCATCGCACTCTCCAAGTCTATGCATGCACACCCACACGTGTGTGGTTGTTGCCTGAATCTCACAGAACTGATGTTAGAACCTCAGGCAGTATCCTACTGCTCTTCCTTTGAGGTTTTGTCTTCTCTCATTCTAGAGATTAAGAACCTGAAGCAATTAGGCCTTGTTTCTTCTGAAGCCCGTTTTTTTTTTGGTACCAGAGATTGAACTTGGGCCCTTTCTTTCTGAAATCTTTAAGTGTAGAAACACGCTGCATGGAACTTCTGTCCTCTTTAGAGGGGACAGAAAGTGGCATAGACTGGCAGAGGCAGCTTCTGTTGGAATTTAGAATCTCCCCAAGGTAAAATCTCATTCTACAGGGTAGTGAATATCCTTAGACTGTAATGGTCTACAATTATAGCTAAAAGATTGTACTTACAAGTACATTATGGGCATTGTAGACTAGCTAAAGGACTACATGACTACTGAAAACTTCTGTCCATGGCAAATGTGTTTCAAGTTTCTGACAAGTGACCTTCACCCAAAGCTTTGGAAATACCCTAAGTCTGGAAGGGCACAATATATAATTTAACATGAACATAGCATGTTGCACCTGTGATGCATGTATAAAGTGTAGTTACAAATGAGACATGTAACTTCATTTTACAAATATTTTCATAATCAAAGGAATGAAAATGAACATTGAATGTATATTCAAATAGTCCCAAGTTATTTTCAGGGGGAGTTTTGCATTCTGACTGATATCTGGAGGAAGCTGAAGAAAAGGACTTTGAAGTCCAGAAAGTACCAAATGTCTGGTGTGGATTTAAGTAAAACCACTTGGGTACATTTCTTAGGTGCTTAGCCTCAGCCTCAGCTACTTCATCTCTAAAGTATAGAGGTGGTACTTAAACTTACAGCTTTTTTGTGTAGCCCATTACCATTAGCACTGAATAATCAGGTGGGACCTGTACAGGGACTGCTTTGGGCACCAGAGGGCAATCGCAGGCTACCTCTGAGAAGTGCATCTGGCTACCGCACCTAAATAACTGAGCGCTCCTCACCTGTTTTCTCCACACCCTGTTCTTAAAAGAGAAACTGCTAAAGCTTCCCACTCTTGACTGTTTACTAGGGTGGGGTTTCTTTTAGGACATGAAGAACGTATGAAATTTGCTTGTGATAGTGGCTGTACAGCCCTAGTAATATACTAAAACTGTTGAATTGCTCAATGTAAATGGCGAGTTATATGGTATATGTATTAAATCTCAATAGAGGTATTATTGTAAAATGTCTGATATTGAAAAATTATGTCCGTATATTTCTCTTTTTATTTGCAGTCACATCAGCATCTCTCTGCCAAATGGCAATTTTTCTTTGCAAAATGAACTATGCAGACTGTAATGTCTGTGCATAATATGAAGAACCTGTGCCACTGTTCTAAAATCAGTTAACCAAGATCATAGCTATATAACTTTAGTACTAGAAACTTTTAAAACAAAGACTTCAGCAAGAACCAATAAAGTTGGTTTATTTTTATTTCGTCTCAGTGCTGAATTTCACAGATACTAATTGGTACTCAGTCCACTCATATCCCAAGGGTATAAAACAGTGTAGAAGTACTTTGATTAAATTATCTTTTTTTTTAAAAGCAGGAAACATTGCATGTTGTAAGAGATCACCCAGAGTGGCTCTGAACACACAGTTGGCTGTTAGAAACGAGATGTGATGTTTCCGACGGATTGTGATCCTCTGTCTGAAGATGAAAAATCTCTCCCTGGTGGCTGTATTGAAAAGTCCCATTTTACTTTTATTCGTCTACATTATGTAGCTGCTAACAACTAGGGCCAATGTATGTTTCAGTGAAAGCAGCGATTATCTCAGGGGAGGCTGAACTGTCTGTCCTGTGAGGAGAGGCAGCCTGTGTGTTCCTTCTTGTGAGACTGAGCCCTAGAAACACCCAGCCGTGGGCTTCTGTGATAAAACCTGTGAAAAAGAGTACTTCCTACTCCTTGGCTATTTCCTGTTTTTAACCATTATTCATGTTTTTAGTAGTTCTTCAGTTTCTAACTCTTACACAAACCCCACATTATTGATTGTAAAAGCACCTTTTTGGAGCTTTAAAGCCAAGCACAATGGGCCTAAAAAATAGTGAATGGATAAGGTACCAGCCCATTAAATTCAATGAGAAATTTCTGACTATCCTAAGTGATATGTGATTACAGATTCAGTTTATAGTTATAAATCAAACTAACTAGCTCTATAAATAACGTTAATCAACCTCTTCCCAAATCAACCCAATTGTCTGATTTTTCCCTAACAGAATATGCTCCCAAATGAATTA